AGAAAAGACTGCATGATGCACCAAGATGTGGAGCTGGTGGTCCTCGCTCGGTGTGGGTGTGGTGTATCTAGCATCCAACGTTCTCCATTCAAAGCAGACATAAACCGAAGAGTTCAAACTGGGACTGGTCCATGCAGAGTAGCTTCTTCCAGTCATCTACAGTCTGGTGATGCGCACTGACAAATCTGAGGCTTTTCTGGATGAATAATGGCATCTTAGCAGCTGTTTGTTGGTCCGTTCAGTCGTCTGCTTTTACTCACACTGGAGACTTTGTCAGACTCTGATCTCTGCCTGAAGGTCAGCAGTGGACTTCCTTCTGTCTCTAGTATTTAAATTCTTGAGTTTCCTGACATCTGCCTCCGTCAGCCTGCGTTTGCCGCCTCGTCCTCGGTGCATTCTCTAAGTACCTGTCTCTCCATCGACTCTGAAGTGTACTCGACCGCACAGCGAGGACACTTCATGTCTCACGCTGTTAGTCTCAGAGAGCGTCCAGCATCACGACGCGCTGTAACGTCCACCCTCTCCTTTACAGTCACTTCTCTTTTTACTGCTCGGAACAAGAGCGAGACGTCTCAACCTGAATTCATTATAAGTTTTCTTTGGTAATGAAAGACTATCACTAATTCAACCACATTTTTATGCTTTTTTTAAATGCATGGAAACAACAGCAATAATTATATTTTAGAATCAAAAACATTATTTAGATTGACGAGTCTGGACACGCTCTTGGATCAACTGTTTCAGAAATATAAAGAGTGATTTCGGTAATTACCAATAATATTGATTTAGGGCAGCTGTGACATGTTTGATGAACTTTATTGACAGCGATCCAAAGACAAACTGGGCACTTTGGGTTCAGATGTACCGGTGCTGAAGGTCTACATGTTCCTAGAAATGCAGATGCTGAACTTTTCAGTATGAACGTGTTTACGACCCTCATCAGTGCGATCACCGCCCTCCCAGTTTCTACTCCAGTTATCGTTCTGGGGTTCTTAGCAGAGGTGGACGTGTTCAGACGGTTAGCGCTCAGCTGTGTGAAAGGAGCGATGGTTGAATCCTGACCTGACGTATGGCTGCCCTGTCTTCTTCCTCTTTACGGATACCAGATTAAACTGTGCTTGACCACGCCCCCATCAGCTGATTTTAGATCTAACGCTTTCACGTCCAGTGAGCGTGGTGTGCTAGCGCCACGTGTGAAGAGGACAGACGCGATAAAAGGTCTAGAAACTCAACGAGTCCACATAAAAAAATAAAAATGTCTTGATCAGAAGGTCACATATCACGGAGGTGGACAGTCTGGTTCTTGCCAGGCTTAGTTCGCCCCTGCTGTGAGGGTGGATGATGCTGTTATCTACCTGTTGCAGCGTGCTCAGTCTCACCTGGGTGGCACTGGTGGCTCGGTGAGAATCATGTTTTTTTAGTTTTCCAGTGTCTTCAATGCCCAACAACTTCCTAACACTCCAGCGACCCAAACACTGAATCATGCTCGCTGGTGACCCTGCAGAGGCTCGCTGTATTACTGGTGGGCAGGAGTCAGAGTGCAGGGAGCTGCTGAGGAGCTCGGTGGAGACGTCCGTCAGAAATCACCTTCTCCTGAATGTCAGGAGGACAAAAGAGAACGTGGTCGCCTTCCAGAGGAAAACAACTGCAACTAACACTGTGAAAACATGGGTGAGGAGCTGGAGCCATCACTGGCATCTGAGTCAGCTAAGGTCAGAGGTCACTGAACAAACTGCTCTCCATCAGGGAAAACATCACAGCTGCTCCCCTCCTCATGACCGAGGCAGCCACAGAGCTTCAATCATCCTCACTGCAATAAACCATACAGTGACAGGTGAACACACACACACACACACACACACACACACACACACACACACACACACACAC